ACCATGGGCTGCAGACCCAGCACTATCTCGGAGGATGTTTTGTTTTTTTTTCTGAGGGACACAGTCCAGCTGAGTTGGGAGCCTTCTTGCAGAGAGGCATGAGTAGCTGGGCTATGTTTGTTCAGGGGCTGCACTCTGGCAGGGATAAAACAGTGGAAACTTTTGCTGCCAAGCCAACGCAGCCACTTCTGTGTTGTCATGGTTAACCAGTTAATCAACCTCTAGCAACAGACAAAGAAGAAGAAACTATGTGAAGATCCTCTATGCTAACTGAAACTGTACTGTACCAGGAAAAAAATCCTGGGAAGAGTTTCCCATGAAATAAGAAAAACAGATACGTAAATGCAGTACTTACCTTGAAAGCTGAAGTAAAATTCAATGATCTTTGATAAATCATCAAAGTTGGAATGGCAAGAAGAACATCTGATGTAACTGCTGATACTGTGGACTTCTGAAGTAACATTTTTTAGGGGGCAGTGGGACAAACTATGAGCAAGCAAATAGACCAGTTAAGCTGGGGAACTGTATTAGAATAAGTAGTGAAGACGTTATTTTGGCAAGAAAGCAGTTAATTTTCTCATGTGTCTACATGCTTTTTGAATAAAATCCATCTAGAGGTATGGAAAATCATGTATTTGTCTTCATAGTTGCTGGTCAGCATCTTAAAGGCGTGGGAATTCCTTGTGTCATAAGCTTTCTTAAGGAAAACTTGGTATCTCTTGAACACAGGTGATGAGTCTGCTTCAGAAAATGAAGTTCAAACACGGCTGGGGAAAGTATGCCTAGGGAAGAGCAAAGGAAAAGAGAGAGAAAGAGGCACAGGGTTGCTTACTATTAGAGTGTTACACAGAGTGTGCGAAACAGAAATACCATCTGTCAGCTGGTTGCCATGAAGGACTTGTGTGGTGGCTATCCTGTCTCCTCTTCCATGCTTCCTCATGAAGTTCATCTGTGGAATGGTGCCGAAAGTGTTGCAGGGGACTAGTGTGGGAGAAAACATCTCTTTGAGCAAGACTGTAACGCTGTGACTGTAATCCAAAGTAGATCTATGTCATTGTTGCTGCACTGAGTATTTTATCAGGCACTTTGTTAACTGAGCAGTAATTTTTCTTCAGTTAAAGGTTTCATATTTGCACGTGTATAATTTTAACAAGAATGTTGTTGTTCTGCTATTTCAGTAATCTTTGGCTGAGGCAACAGTGTGCTTTACTAAAAGCCATGTGTGTGAGAAGCTTCTTTGGGCTTGATACTTGATTAGGGAAAAGGCTAATGCTTCTTGAGCAACCCTAACTTCTCCTTCATCCTATGAGTCACCCTCAGCTAGAGAAACTGAACTGCCCTGGTAAGGACAGAAGTGTTGGAAATTGAAAAACAACCCAGGTTTACGGCAGCAGGAGGTCTGCGAAATGCTGCTGACCTGGTGGAGGCATAGTCTGTGAACAGAATGCAACGGGAGTGAGGAGGGACTTGGGTCAGGGCCACATTTTTCTCCTACTCCCATTTTTCTATATTTCTATGGACTGTATGTCTTGTTCCCTGCTCACACCATGTTTTTTTCTTTGTTTTTTGAAAGCAGAATATTAATCTGGTCCAATCTGTAGTTTTGTGTTGAGATTTTTTTTTTAAACAGTTTTGAATGATTTGTAGAGTTTGATATGAAGCAACGTGAAGTTTTCTAATTATGGAACATTTACATGCACTGATACCCAAGTGAAAACATGTATTTCCTCTGGAAAACACCTTCATCTTTTATGTGCAAATTACTCTCTTTTTAGGTGTCTAAGACTATATATTTGGTTTTCTCTTATTTCCCCCTGGAATTAAAGATTCAAGGGGAAAAACAGAGCTTTATCTTGTTGAACCTTTGCAACTCTCTGATAGTCCACACTCTTTGCATTATCCAAGCTGTAAGGATGGGCCAGATGTTGTACCTGAATGGCCCAGAAAGACAACTGAGCAAGGGGACCGACAGTGATGTGGGGACTAGGATCGCCCTGCTCCTATCAAATAGCCAGCAGCCAGGGCTGTGCCATGTGAGAGGCCACAGGGATTTTGTTACAGTACAGGTGTGTTCCCTGGGTGTTAGCGTGCTCATGTGAAACACTGCTAACTGCTGAGAAACTAAGTAAGGGGACACTCCAGATAGCCTTAGTACAGTTATGTAGATAACTACAAAACTTACTAAAGGGGAAGTGTTGCCGTATGGTGGGTGTGAAAGCAGACAGATTGGGAAGTGAAAGAGCTGCAATCGCTCTCTTAGGCTTTCCCCACTAGTCTGGGGCATCCAGGTGCATGTTGCACAAACAAAGCTATTTTCTTATTTAACACCCCCCCCCTCCCCCCATATATATATATTTTTAAGTATTCACGTGCACTGATGTTTCCAATAATAGTTCTGAAAATAGACAGTCCAGACAAATTACCATTTGAGGACATGTTTTCTTTTTAAACCACAGCAACATTATGTACAGTGTTGCTGTCTGGATTCCCTTCATATTAACTTAGCTGTCATGTGTGGCTTTAGGCTTCACGTTTTAGTAGATTAAATAGGTTTCATCTATGAAATGAAGGTGGTAAGGTTATAAATATTATGACTGTTTTGTTGTTATGTTCTCAAAAATCTGTCATTAAGATGGCTCACTGTTAAGTAAATACTGAAATTTACATCAAAGAATCAGAGAGCATCACATTGTAATGAGACTGCAGCATGTCTATTGCTAATGAGTTGACAGCGAAGTTGAATGCAGTTTTCATTACTATCTCATAAATTGATTTTAGTTTACAGTGCTGTAGGCTGTCTCCTTAATTTTGTATTTTTGTTTAATTGGATACCAAGACATATAATTAGCTTAAATATGTTGTCTGTCTTCACTGACACAAGCTCCTGAACCAGTGAAATCTACTCCAGCGTGAAGACTCTGATCTGCACATCCTGTGTGCTGGGTGGAGCTTTTTTTAGGTAAAACCAACTCAAGCTGAAAGATAAAGTGGGCAAGAAAATTATACCGGTCTTAATGGTCTATCACATGTGACATAAAATACATGTAGTTAAAAATCCTTTTTTAGAGGTTTTTACTCCTGGTCTCATAATTTTCAGAAAAATGCATTCCATATATTTGCTGTTTTTTCTTCAGCTGTTATATTAGAAGTGGAGCTATTTTGTGACATCTTTTCACGTTCATATAATCTTTTTTGTTTATGATACTATTCTTGACTAATAAGGTATTTCACAGAAGGCTTTGCAGTGTGACAACTATTAACAGTTGCTGCTTGTAGCAGGTATGAATGAAAATAGCTTCTAATAGAACTATTGGACCAAGGCACTTAATGCTTATAATACATCTGTATATGTAGTGAGAGGGCAAAGCAGCCCACAACTGCTAATGCTTGCTGCTAATACCACCTCAGCAGAATACTGTTCTCTTTCATCTGATTTCAGTAAAAAGTATCATAGTATTTAATGTAGGTGATTTTGTGTGATCCGATAAAATATCTGTGCACCCTGTCTTTGGCTTCCTGTGACACACTGTGCCCAATGGCAGACAGCAATATATGGACAAGTCAGCGTAGAGCTCAGTCTCCGCATCAGCTGGTACAAATACTGATTTTTGTGAAACATTTGTTACCTCTTTCTTCAGATGACTTTTTCCTGTTGATTTGTAAGGTCTCCTTTGTGAGAGGACTATAGCATTCTGCTTGTCTTGCCTTCCCAATAATTGTAAATGCTCATAATGAAGGTTACAAGCCGTAGCAACAAATACTGGATATCAGAATTGATGGGTTTCCTCTACAGGGATATCTTTACTACTGTTTAGATGAGGGGTCTGACATATTTAGAAGCAGCATTTGGTGAAACCAGTATGGAAAATGGTGCTCCATGTTGGACTCAATGGTCCTTATGGGGCCCTTCCAACTCAAGATAGTCTATGCTTAAGCCGTGTAAGTTATGTAAGTTGTTTACTTTGGAGATAGGGACCCCGTTATGCAATAATTGGAGGATATTGGTAAGTAGGTATTAGCTCCCATTAACAGTGATAGAGAACTTGTACTAATACAATTCCTAGGATGCCACTTGGAAATTTTACCCCTGGACATCCATCCCACCATAATTTCGTTAAGGACTGCCTGCTAACTGAGCAAACAGTACTAGCAGGAGCTGTAATATCTTTCCTCTCAGACGAAAGGAGCAGCCTATTTGTTCCACGTGACATCAGGGCAAAGAGGCAGGGAGGGAGCGGGGGAGAAGTTCTCTCTTCACTCCACAGGAGCCCCAGAAATGTTTTGAGTATTGCAGGCGTTGTTTTTGATAACCGGTGTACATACAGCTAAAATTCCTCATATGCTTTCTTAAGGTAGTAAAGTTGTGATAAAGGCATTCAGTGCCCGTCACAGAGATTATCCAGCACCTATCTGCCTGTAGCAAATGCATCTTTGAATGCATTTGCTGGCTTTGCAGCGTGCCAGTCTGCTGGTGCTTCCATTGGGTGGAAGTGGGATGTCTTCTCTGTATTGCTTCCCTGGGATGTTAAGGCAAAAGGGCACAGAGCAGGGACTGGGTATGCATCCCACAAATTGAGATTACTCTTCTGTACGCATATGCTTTGCCTTTAGCCAAGAAGCCTAGCTGGTAAGTTCATCTGCCTCACACATGCAACTTCGTAGCTTTTTACTGACAGGGTGAAACTAACCCTTTCTTCTAGTCTCAAATTTTCCGTGCAGCACAGTAAAATTAGTACATGTGATTAGTACAAAAATCTGCATGACATCAAAACCCCAAGAGATGAAAAAACCTAAAGCCATTATTCAATGTCTCAATTAATTAAGGGGATCTATGATGTTGGCTTTTGGGATAATCCCTCCTCAGTCTCACTTTGGAAGTCAGCTGCTCAGGCGCAACGACACAAATTCATGTATACCCCAGTCCAAAATGAAGAAGTGTTAGTCTATCAGAAGCATGGTAACTGTTTTAATCCCATGTTTGTTGTTATTTTTTTCTTTAGGGTACCATCTTTCTGCCTGGCAACAGAGTAATTGAGCATCCTTGCAATGAAGAAAGTCCAGGAAAGTTCCTTTTTGAAGTTGTTCCAGGTAGGATATTCTACTCCACATAAAAAGTCCGTGCAATTTTGTTCTCAGTGAAAAATGGCCACATTTGTTCTGCCATAACAGAAGCTGAAGGTGATTAATGATTCAATTTAAGGGAAAAAAAAGGTTAATTTGTTAATACTTTAATTTATAATTTTTTCATTCACCTCCAGGCAGCGTGGGAAAAGGATGTGGTTTTTATTTGTCAATGTAAAGCATGATTGTTCATGGCAAGGGGCTGCACCACTGAGTGGTATAGTGACAGTACAAGTGTATTTGGTAATTATTTTAGATTATATTGGATGCTATGAAGTAGTGTGTCCTGTGATAACAAAGGAATCCATAACATAGCATCAACAGCTTATCAGAATAGCATGTGGGCTTGATGACATCAGTACCATCACTTAAGAATGCTCCCTGGTCACTGTTGGTGTACAAACAGATTTTAACAACAGCAAGCATCACTGATTTGGAACCCTAAACTTGTTTTTAGTTGTGTTTTTTTGATTGCGTGTGTTTTTTACTGGGGGTAGATTTGTCAACTGAGTGATATTCCTGACTGCGAGTATTGCTTAAGTGATTTGCTAGCCTTCTCTTTGCTACCTAGGACTTCTGGAGGGCAGACTTTGGCTTGTTTAAGGGACCTGGTTGACAGAGTCCCTTCAGAGGCAGTCCTAAAGGGCAAAGGAGTCCAGGAAGGCTGGACATTCTTCAAGAAGGAAATCTTAAAGGGGCAGGAGCAGTCTGTCCCTGAGTGCCGAAACACAAGCTGTTGCCTAAATTGTAGGAAGCCTTCAGAAAAAGCAATATTTCACTCTGATTTTGAGTTACCAGTACACTGTTAGGTCTCAACCACTGTCAGTGTTGCTTCTGCTCCCATAATTTGACTGTTTATTGCTGGTTTTCTGTGTCAGCACCTCTCGTTTTATTTTCTTCCAGCCTGAGCCCTTATGTGCGAAGGCTTAGCCCGGGGTCAACCTTCATGCCCAAGTTAAAGAGCCTTGGGCAGCACAGCTGACAGTGGGAGTGCCAGCTGCTGTCCTGATGGGTGATGCTCATGGGAGAGCATGATCACTCTCGTGATTTCCCAAAATATTTGTTATTCCATCTTTCTATGCAGTCAAGTTAAAAAGTAATTTGCAATTAGTATGTGGGCTGCCTTCAATATTTATCTGGAGCCTCCCTGAGAACCAGGTAGGAGTTTTTGTTTTGTTTGCTTGTTTTTAATTCTGAATATGGGGTTTTGAATGTGTTTAGGATAGCACCAGTATATTTATTTTCCCCCCCTTGCTAACAAGCATGCAGCTATAGTGACTTCATACTGGAGGAATTTTCCTGGTGAGATATTATGCTAAGGATTCATGACCAAAAAAAGTTTTTTGGAAATCAGATAGGACATTTCATACCACAGCACTTGTCTTTGGGGGATGAAATTAAACTTGAGACTCAGACTGACTGTGCAGGCATCACAGTGCCTGTAGAAGTGTTGTCAGCTGTATGTTAAACAAAGATGAAGCGAGTTTTGTCACTGTCGTTGTGTCACTGTTGCTTCTCAAGGCAAGTATTGTCAGCCTTTTGTCATGGAGCTGTTTGTCATCTGTATCCTCTTAGCAACTTCTAAGTCAGTTTTATAGGCTGACAGCAACAAAACTGAGCTCATTGAGTGTAATAAAGAAAAATACATTGTAGCCAAGGTTCTGTTTAGCCTTTGTTAGATTTCATATGAGAAAACAGCTACATAACAACATGATCTATTTGCAGGTTGGTTTTTTTTTTTTATTTTGTCAGCTTAAATGAATGTTGTGTTAAATGTATGGCGCTGAAGCTCATGCTGCTCTTGGATTCAGTTTTCCCTGTATTACAAGTTGAAGTAAATTTTAGTGTATGCAATAGTGACAAGTCCTCTTTTTGTCTTATGTCTGTGGGCAGCCTGAAAACTTGTGTGTGTGTGTGTTTATTGGTAATAAATGTAAACTATTTTGAGAATGTATGTGGGAGGAGGTTTATACTGTGAAACTAATTTTCTGTACGCAGCCATCTCTGAAGATGAATGAAAGAAATGTGTGTGGAGACAAGTATCTTGCAGTTTTGATGCTGTAATTAAAACACAGATGCCTTTAATTTGCATTTTGAAAACATTCTTTTCATTCCTTAAGTCATGACATGGTTTAACACTTAAAATTGTTCTTTCTTTTTTTTCTTTTGCTGTGCTGATGAAGTTAATTTACAGGAGTGAAACTGTCTCCTGTACAGCACGAGGCCCATGTCACTCATCTGCGCAGGAGTTTTCTGTACCAGAGTCAGTGTGACCAGGAGGTGATTAGTGATGTCTGTGGTTATTAACAGCTTCTGTTGTACTTGGAGGAATGTTTCATACTCAACAGAAACCGGAAGAGGGTTTAAATAAATACCTTTTTAATGGGAAATATGCACATATAGCAAAGTTGTGTGATTAGGTTTATTCAAGTGATTGTGTTTTCTTTTCTGATTGTTGCTAGTTTTATTTAGAAGATAAAATCTCTTTCTGTGTATTTGTTCCTTTCTAAAGGTATGCAGGTGTAATGAGGCATTTGTGTTCAAACAGAACTAAATCAGGTGACCTAGCTGTGGTTCAGTGAACTAGGTGTCACCCGTAGGTACAGCAGTGCAAAACAGAGGTACCTGAAAGTATTTTGCATGTGGGAGACTTGATTCCGGCTGGAGTCAAGTTGCTGCACCCTATTTGCACAGGAGGAGCTGAGCACAGAGATATTGGAAGCTCAGACTCGTCCACCGTTTTTTACACAAGGCTTGAGTGCCTTTTTTGGAATCCCCTGGGCTTTCCAGGTGTTGCTGCCTGCAGGCGTTTTGGGTGAGGGCAGTATGGGAAGCCCTGCAGTAGGAGCCTGTGGCTTTCCCAGGGATGTCCAGATGCTTGCAGAAGCTCCCAGAACTTGAATCCTCATCTCTTGATGCATTCAGGAAGTGCCACCAGCTCAAAATAATCTGGGACTATGTAGGTTATAGCCTAGAAGAGATGACGGTTATTGAATGAGCAAAGGAATGTGCTTCATTATTGAACAGACTTTGATCCTGGAAACTGAACTGCTCATACTGCTCCTTCCCTGGTTGCTGTTATTTGAGATCCTTATACTGTGGCTGATGTCCTGCTCTGCGAGAGTGAGAAATCATTTTACAGCTTGGCCTCAGGGGTAAAAAGTCAGGTCAGCAGTCCAATGGTATTTCACCATTTCAGTGTTATTGAATCATGTATTTCTTTGTCCCTGTCCTGTATTACATGCAGATTTCATAAGTAAACAGCACTGAGGACAAGCTTCCATGACTGTGTTCGCTAGCATGTGATCTGTTTGTGTGTTCTGTTCCAAGGCATGAGTTCCCCTAGAGACACAAATATCCCAAAGATTTCTCTGATGAGTTGTTCAGTTGCATGTGTGTTAATATTTAATTAGTACTGTTTAAACTAAAACATATATTTCCAAATGTTGATCTTCAGTATTCCTTGTGGAATCTTTTCACGAAATCACAGAATGGTCAGGGTTGGAAGTGACCTTCAGAGACCATGTAGTCCAACCCCCCTGCCAAAGCAGGTTCACCTACAGCAGGTTGCACAGGAATGCATCCAGGCGGGTTTTGAGTATCTCCAGAGAAGGAGACTCCACAACCTCTCTGGGCAGCCTGTTCCAGTACTCCGTCATCACCCTCACCTTGCTTGTAAACTTTGTATATGTGTGTTGTATTTTTCACCATTGGGAAAGTATTGTAGTCCAGCATGTGCATTTGTGTGGATTAATTTGTACTTTGGTAGTACTGAGTTACCGAAGTCTGTTCATCCCTCTAAAAGCATTCTCAGTGCAGCACCAAGCTATGTGTCTGCAGCTTAAGGCACTGTTTCATGCTTAGGGGTTATTCAGACTGTTAGGAAATAACTGTAGTATTTCAGGAAACTTACTTGTAGTCTCTGCTGCTTCTTTTTGCTGCACTTGCATGGCAGCTGATTTCTTGTGTGTATGGCTCCTGGGCTATCTCCCTTCCCATCAGGGAACACGAGATCTTTCTTGGGTCGTGGATGGTGGAGACTGCAGAAGGCACCTTCAGTACTGTACGCATTTGTTTGTTTAAGGTCAGTTTGTCAGACCTGGGAGCTGTAGTCAAGAGAACAAGCCCAAACAAATTGCTGAGGAAAATCACACCATTTTTATTGTGGTTTTGGTGAGCTCTCTCTGTGCAGTTTTTCTGTATGTGCAGCTTTTCAGAGAGCAGTTTCTCAGTGATGTTACGCAGCAGAAGTGTTGGTTCCCTTTGTGGTGCTAATTGAAAACAGGCCAAACATACTGCCACAATGAGACAACTTACTTCTGCTTCTTCAAGTAGAAGCACAGGATATAAATCAAAATACGACATGCACTTAAAATACTTAAGCTACCTGCCCAAATGCTTCAGCTGGAAAGGATGTGAAACAAAAGCAGTTTCATTGGACAGCCATGTACAGTCCGGTCTCAAGTGTTAGTTTTGATACTCTGGCAGTCTTTACTTCTATGTTCAAACATTTAGCTGATTTTCCATCACACCTTTTCTTGTGAGAATTATTTTCAGGTAATACAGAAGTCTGTAGCAGGTTTTACAAATTGATGTTAGGAAAGCGCTCCCCAGTGCTGTTGTGGAGAGTGCCCTACGAAGTATTTTTACATTATTTTGGAGGACTTGCGTTGTTGCTGTTCACAGCATGTTTGAATCTCATTTTTCTGGCATGAAATTCTTATGCTGTTCTTTCTCAGAACAGCAAACAGTATTTCATCAGGTTTCTAGGCTGACCTTACAGACTTGTGAACTCTTTGACTACAGAGCATTTCCCCAAAGCCCATGGCTTTCTTAGAGAATCTCTGCAAGGGAGTGAAATATTAATTCCCAGAACTTTGAAATTGCTAGAATTATTTTTTCATTAGTCAGAAAAAAGAGGTGTCCACAGGCACCTTTATGTCTTTAATTGCATACCATATGGCAAA